TACTAAATAATATTAAGAAAAACCCTGCTGAAACACTTGATTTCACAAGAGAAAACTACATAATCATATTGCCTCTTGTCAGGTGCAGTACATAGTATTTCTTCCCATCTATAATTGTGCTAACACAGAAAAATGCCCATATTAGTGTTTTCCTACATTTTTAATGGCCTTTCAGTTAACACATCAGATTTTGAAAACTGTTTTTTAAAAATTATGCTTGAAATATACTCTGCAGATCTCATGAGTCAACCTCATAATCTTCTTTACTTCTCCCCTTCCTTACTGTTGTGCCCTACTCCTCAAATGAGAGCCTGCCATTATACCTGACTGCAGAAAGTCATTCAGAGTTCATTCAACAAAATCAAAATTTGACTTCTAGTAAGCCTCTTTTTTTCAAAGTGAGAAACTCCACTTTATTTAAGTGCATGTGTTTTTGCCGAAATGAAATCAGCAGTACAAAAAGATTGTACACCAAAATCCTAACTAGTTAAACAGAAAATATCTTTCAACTACATCATCAATAATAAAAATACCACAAGATATATTCAGAATGAATACACAAAGCACTTATAATCCACTAGTGGTAATATCAACTACTCAATTTTCTTTTCTTAGTGATTTCCATGTGAAAATCCATGGGACCAACTTCTCACAATCCATTCACTTTGTCATATCCAATACACAGCTGTTTCCTTTGGGGAGATTATCCACACACGGACCAAAGAAAGCTGTTTCTGAGGCTGTGCCTCAAGCCATGGCAAATTCCTGGATATGGTATATATGAAGAAAATCTTCAGGCAGAGCAACTCAGGAAAAGGAGTCTAACTCTATGATTTAGAAAGCCTAACCTGTGAATCTTTAAAAAAAGAAAAAATTAAGTTAGATGCCAAAACAACTCAGCACAACCAGAATTTATGTGGTATCTCAGAAGATGAAATCTTGGCTCCTAATGGACTTCAGGAGAAAGTAGTTGTCCAGGGAAGAGACTGTAAAGGTCAGGATTGATGCCATGACATTTTTTCAGCAGTTTGGAAAGAATCAGTGACACTAGAAAGGCAAATAATTCCCTGAAGTGACCAAGAGGTTCCCCTTAGACTAGCTGCAGAACATATTGCACAATGGTACTGTACTTTATCTGACTAAAATGTGCTTATACTGGAATTGAGTGTGCACTGTCACATTCCAGCTCATGCTGATAAATGCAGAGTGAAGAAATTGTCAGCAATCCATGAGGCAATGAAGGAAAAAAGTTGCCTACCCAGAAACTGAAAGACAAAATAACTGTTTCCAAGAGAAGTTTATGATCCCTGTTCCTTTGCTATTTCCACACAATACTATTTAGGTGAGGGCCAGTCCTCTCAGCCAGTGCTGTCATATCAACTAAAAGACATTAATAGCTAGGATGAAAAGCTTGAAGAAACTCCCCAGGAAAAAAAAAATCCACATCACAACCAGTGACTATGCTAACCTAGTCTTAGCATAAACAAAACCACCCTCTTTTTTCTATACCTCATGCAGAAAAATGGAGAGTATATGTGCACATCTACATTGACAGATAATTACTTATTCAGGTTTTGTTTCAGATTGGAGGCTGCAAATTTTAAAAAGGAAACATACCACAGATCACAAATCAATGAAGTGCATGGACATGTCCCAAGAAATAGAAACTGCAGTGTGTTCTCAATTGGTGGTAAAAACATGTCTTCCTTTTTCTTCAGCTGTCTACAAACTGATTAAGTAAGACAACTTATCAGCTATAAAAAATTAACAGGCTTTTGATTTTGCTATGTTTTTCCTAGATATATTACAGTCATTATGATACATCTGATAATGACAACAACAAAAAAATGGTATTATCCCTGACACAGAAAAATGTGTTTCTGACTGGCTTGAGAAATTTTGCAGAACAGGTCTCATCATCAATCATATTAAGTTTAATGCTGGTTGTTCAAAGAACATCTTCACTGATACTGAGCCTAAAGGCACAACCTATCAAAATTTTTCAACTTTCCTCAACTAAATAAGAGCCTGGCTGAAAAGTCTGCATGCACATCCAAAAAGTCCATCCTTGAACCAAGCTCCAAATCTTGCAAAAAGTGCCTGAAAAATTATAGTAAAATTCAGTGGTTTGAGAAGACAAATAAAAGACTGGGATTCACTTTTCATCTGAAAGCAAATTCTAAGTTTGGTGACTTGGGGAACGGCTAATAATAATCTACCTAATGCATTTACAGAACATGTATATGTATATACATATACATATATAGAGATATACACACACACATATAATATGTATGTATAGTATGTGTGTGTATATCTATATACTCACACAGACCTTCATTTATTTATTTATTTGTGTAATTTTTACTGCAGTATAATGAAGTCCATTACGAAGACCCATGGTGAAGTGGATTTTCTCAGGTTTTGGGTAGCTCATACTCTTAACAATTATCAAATGACCTGTTATGTATGTACTGCATGTACTACACTGGATCTTCAATCTGGGTAGTTCAGAAATAGAAAACAACACTGAAGCTGTTACAGTTACCTGTGTGCACCTCTGCATCATGCCCTGTAAATAAATTTCAATCACATGGTTTACCATCGTTGCTGTTTTTTTGCATTTCCATAAGGCAGAGAGAACCCAAGCCTGGTCCAAATACATAAACTCAAGCACAAACACAGCTGGACTTTGAAGAACTTTAAATTATTAAAACAGACAATGGACAGACAGTGGAAAAGTGTGGTTTTGCTTGGAAGTATAAAAAGGAGTGCATAGCCCTAGCTGTGTTAGTAATGGCTTATATCTTCTGCTGCAAAAAACCCCACAAAATACCTGCATATTACCTTTTTTCTTTTCAGAAATAAGAGATCTTTGCAGTGTTTCACTAAGTTAAAGCATACTGTGAGACTGCATGATGTGGCATCATGAACTTCCTCATCCTCTGTTTACATTTCCACACAAATTCTTCTCAGCAAAGAAAAGTGAGAAGTTTTGGGTTACCATATGAAGAAACTAAGCCAGATTGTCACTTTGCAGATGAGAGCCAATGCTGGCTCACAAGCTTGGTGAGGGAGAAAAAAGGAAATACTTGTTTCAGTTCTGTTAGACTTACGGGATGGTGCATTTTTATTTACCACTGAAGTAAGTAACTCAAGTGTTCCCAGCTGCGTACTCCAAATTTGGATGTTAGCCCAGAAGCGGCGAGCTTCATCTCATTTCCAGGATAAAATGCTCACCTTCTGGTTGCATGCTTCACACCAGGGCATCAGATTGTCAGAGGCCTGCAATTCTGAACTAAAGAGAACTCTTGGTGTTGCTTTTTCTTTCCCAAAACTTATTTTACTGCTTATTCTGCCCAATCACCCTTTGTATCATTCCAATCCTTAAGAGAGGTGACTGAACTAACAGCCCATACACATTCACAGTGTGGAGGTGTTTGGCAGTGCAAAATCACAGATAAATTATGCTCCACTAGAGACTGTTCTCCAGGCACCATCCACTGGCTTTCTGAGATAATGGCAACTCTAAGACCATAAATTAATTTCATATAAGTGATTGAAATATTACATAGGGGGACCAAAGCTGGATTTCAATTGATCACTTAAGGAGGAAAAGCTCCATATCCCATTGTATTGAGCAATTTGGCATCCTGCTCCATTCTCTGTGTCCGGCTGGAGATTTAAAAAAACCCCAATACTCTGCCAGAGGACAGAGTGGATCCATCTTCATGGAGCAAAGACAAACATTTGATTCCTTTTTAAGATTATTCTTTTTAAATAAGGGAAGTATCTCTTCACATTGAGATATGCTAACTTCTCTGTAGCAAAGGTTCTTTGTTATTTCCTGTGGCCTGCCCAGCCTAGTTTATTACTGAGAAAGAGTGACAGAAAGCAGTCAAGGGAAAGGCACTCAGATCGTGGCAGGGAGAAACTCCTCCTAAGAATGTTAAATCCTTCTTATTAGGGACTAACCTGCATACTTCTAAATCATCAGACCAGTCATCATACAACACTGGAGGCTTCTGAGCAGCATGAGGCACAGTGGGCCCGGCCCCAGCAGGTGCTCCATGATCTGGGGCAGCCAGGGCATCACTGCCAGAGCCTGCCTCTGCAAAGGAGTCCTTGGTGTGCCTAAGGAAAGGCACAGGCTGCCGGTCTCTGTGGGAGCTTTTCCCTTTGCTTTTCCCACATTTTCTTGAGGAAATCCTTGCATCCTGAGATGATGCTGAAGACTGTGATTCCTTAAGCCTCGAAATCCTTCGGCGGTGATTTAAAGTGGGATTCTCAGGGTCAGACACCTCTTGTTTCTCTTTTCCTGTTGTCCCCAAGGTGACAAGTTCAACAGCATTACTGTTTGAGGACCCATCCTGGTTACTGCATGATCTATTATTTCTTCTCCCTCTCCTGGCCATCCTGGCCTTTTCTCTTGCTCTCCTCCTAGCCTGAGCCCATTGACTCTCATCCGAAGATGATGATGAATCAGATGCGTTCCAGCTGGATCTTGGAGGCTCAGGATGCAATTTACAGTTTCTCCCCTTTCCTTGCTTTTCTGTGTGCCCACCATTGTCTCCAGTCTCTTTTTTCCGCCTAAACCTTCGTTTTATGAGTTTCTTACCACCCAGCTCCCTATTAGAAGGGGTCAGCACCATGACAGGGGTTGCATGCTCAAGCTCATCTTCTGACAAATCATGCAAGGTAGTTGATCTAGACAAAGCAGTAAGCAAAGGAAAGGGATGGAAATGGGAAGGGTGGGTGGAAAGAGAAATCACACAGAGAAAAAAAAAAAGAATGAGAATGAGAACATGAATTTTAATACAAAAACATGAGACTAAAACACAAAAACAAAACCAAAACAAAGAGAGATCGAAAGAAAACTAAAGTCTATGTCAATTATGAATAAAGTTAAGCAGAAGCAAGAGCTACATAGCTACATAATATTTAATAAAGGCAACTATCAAGTATCAGCCAGATGAGAATATATTTTTCTCAGCACATACCTACAAATGTCCTGAGTGGAGGGGCAGACAGATAACCGAGATTGACTCCTGGGAGCTGTTCCTGTTGTAGGACTGCTTGCCTGTTGAAATAAGTTAGACAGTTTGGAATCTTTGTCCATGAAATACATTGCAGATATTTTACTGCTTTGCCACATGATCACAAAATGAAAACAACTGTTTCTGCTGTTCATAGTGCGCTGTTGAACACATAGAAGCTGGCAAAATACAGGAAGCTTGAACAAAAGTGAAACCAATTTGTGGAACTAAGTACGACTGAAGTGTTTGAGCTCTTATTCGCTCATGACAACTTTTGTCACTGTTTGAGGAAGCAGCTTTCATTTCAGACTGAAATTTGAATTTTCATTTGGCTCTACTGTAAATGTTTGAAGGGAAAATGTCTGATTTTCCTTCGTGCAGTCAACGAACCATGATGATGCCTTTCCAAATCACGTGAAGTGCATCTGCGATACATTTAGTGATGAAGAACCCAAAGCTAACTTAGGTTGAGTGGACTGATGAAACAGCAGGAAGAATAGAGTGTGTTTTAAAAGGTTTTCAAGGCAACCAGATCTTCTAGAAAAGCTGAAAATGTTAAACTGAGATGAGCCAGAAAAATTCAAAGTGCAGGCTGCATCTCTACAGAGCTGATCACATTCTCAAACAGCAGAAGAGATATAAAAATGTTTAGTATGTGACATTTTGCTCTAAGGTTGTTGCTACAAATTGCAGATTCAGTTACCCAATACTTTCACTAAAAACATATTTTGATGGTGTTAGCAGCAAACCATTTCAATCTGCCTTGCTATCAACTGACAGCGGAACTGTATGGAATCCAAATGTAAATCCAAGGCATTGTGATTCTTCAGGATCCTTCACAAGACACAGTATTGTGGGAAGTGGGTTCAATACAAATCACCAAGGCTGTGACCTTCCTGCAGCTGATCAGGGCTGTTGGCTTTTACTATGCAACCCCATCCAGCCCATTGTGATCACCACTTCCAAATGCAGACAAAATACTACAAGCCTCACAATTCCACAAGATCGAGCACCAGATGCAAGGGAAGGATGATCACTAAGAAAGAGTACAAAGCACAAATCAAACAAAGATGTAAAGCCTGTTATCCAAATCTTTTGTAATAGCAAACCAAATTCAGTCAGATAATTGAAATTATTTCTAGCTCAACTTCCACAGACATTTTTGTGGTGTTAAAAAGGTGTTGTAAAATTAGTATTACAAGCAAAATAATTATAAACAGCAAGTACCTGCCAACACTTCTCTTTTAGCCGAGGTTGTCAATATCCATTCTATTTAATGCATACATCTTTTGGAAACATCAGTCACCCCTATGTGGATTTTTGCTTTTACATGGGTACCAGCTGAGACTTAAGAATAGTGCTTTTGCATGAAAACAATCTTCTAGCTCCTGGAATTCAAGTAACCATTTTTACCTGTTGATTAATATTGCAAAAGTACACCAAAACCACCAACAATATTACTAATTCTTTACTTCTAGTTCCATGAATGAAAATCAGATATACAACAACTAAGCCAAAATGAGCAATTAAATTGCTATATTGACACAATCCTGTGTTGTAGGTTTTTGCCATGTCTGGATTAACCATCAAAGGAGGAACATCAGTGTGTATACATGCAGTGTCATGCTGGAAGAAAAGGACAAGTATCTGTGAGAGAAACTGTATTCCGTATCTCCTCTTCTACAAAAGCAGTATTTCAATTACATGCATTGGGACAGAGTATGAGTGTTTCTTACATACATATTGGAAACATATGTTAGATGCATGGCTGGGTATATAATCTCCTTCCATCTCAGCCTCTGAGATTAGCATTGGGTAATTAGGCATGTCTTAAGCTACTTAATGAGGAAAGATGCAGACATCAGCACCAATAACTAATGTTATTGGGTTACGTGCTGCTGCTGCATGAAGAAACATCCCTCCAGACTAAGCCCCAGTGGAAAGACTGGTGAAGAAACCCAGCCCCGGAGCTGGAGGAATCCTGGATTCATGCCTCATGATGTGCTCATTTCTTTTTTCCCCTCACAGCTCCAGGACTGTTACCATTGCTTCTTTGGGATCTCTGCACTACAGGGGTTTGGCCTGGTGTTAAATGGTGGTCAGGTCAACCCCACACAGTAAAAGGAATTTTTACATCACCTTGCCACAAGCAGTACCCTTTGAAGGGATATGGCAAAGGTGGCCCAGCAGCCATACAGTAGGTCTGCTCAAGTTCAAGAAACTTTCAGCAGCTATTAAAGCAGGAAGCCAACTAGACAGTTCTTAAGAGAGCTGAAATAAAGCCAAAATGAAACAAGCTCCTTGAAAAGCTTTTACACTTACGATTTGGAACTGCAGACCAGCAGAAATCTAATTATTTTAAAATAAAAATTACATTATCAGCTTGACTACTTAAATCTTACATTTCACTTTCAACTGTCAAGAGGTCTGGACTGTTTCAGCCCTGCTCAGTCAAATTTACTTTCTAGTTCCACTGTGCAGGCATGATGCTATGTTTAGTTGTACATAACTCATAGGAAAGTTTATTTCCTTCAAAACCAATTTACATAAATATCTTTTACAAAATGAATGCTTTTTGCTTATTTATCTAAGCCCTATTGGAGCAAACATGACAACTGGCAGGCAAAAAGCCAATGCACCATTTAAGTCTTCAAAAACAAAGCATGACAAGTTATATACAAGATAATTCAGATTCTTACCTGTGATCAAATATAATTAATTCAATTTCTACAACTTTGTAACACAATTTTTAATCTACATTATCTAAATTTATATGCATTTATCTACATTAAATTGGCTTTTCATGGTAAAATCACAGATTCATAGAATTCCAGGCTGGATGGAACCTCAAAGATCACCCATTCTAACCTTTCTTGGCAAAAGCACAGTGTGGACAACATGCCCCATCACCCCATCCAGCTGAATCTTAAAAGTGTTTTCATGGAAAAAAAAAATTAACTGATGGAGCGAATTCTAAAACCAAAAAGGTTAATGCTTCTGATATTAATTTTCTGATGTTGATTTGTGTCCCTCACAGGAAATGGAGCCCTTATTTTGCAAATATGTCCAGTCTTTGTAAATTAAATAGGAGTGGAAGGACCTGCTAATGTCAGGTCTGTCCTTGCTAACACATGTCAAATAAATTTAATAATTCACATCTAGATGAGCAGTTTTTAAGAACCTGTAAATTTCAGCTCAGTTGGACACCTAGTCCCTTTACTTTTTCATCCTACCCTGTTCTGACAGCAGTAATTGTAACTGCTTTCTGCTACCAGCACTGCCTCTAGGTTTACCCCAATTCTTTTGGCAATATTCCCTCTTTGCCATTTCTTTTACAAACCTTACATCTCAAACTGATTTTAAAAATTTAAATAATAGTATCCTTTAAATTCAGTCTGAGAGCAAATACATCTAGAGGGGCATAAAGGGTAGTGTGTTTACAGAGGAAATTGTGTATTTTCAAGGCATATCTGACAAACCAGAACATGATAATTTGAATATATTCTGCTCACGTCTTATCAGTCCAGCTCTTTTGGGAATGCATATGCAGCAGATGTTGGAAACAGTCTCAAGCAGACAGATCTTATTGCTGTAATTGCCATCCCATTGCTATTTTGCTATACAGCACACTGAATATTTTGAGATACTGTATTTAGTCAATAGAAGATCAGACTGATGCCAAGAACTCCAATTCCACCCGGGAGGCTGAATAACAATTATTTTTTTTAATAGTATTCCTTGAATGAATGTCTTCTTCAGACAGGTATATTGCACAGCTCACTGGAATGGGAAAACTAAACAAGCACTGTACTAATTTTATCATAACAAATTACATCAGTAGCAGAATTAAAAGCGGTAATTCAAAATAAAGCTGTCTCTCAATTAATTTATAAGCAAGGCAGCTCATTTCTCTATGCCATCAGCACAAGGAAGAGGTCTAAAGGAAAATGCCAACTCCAGCTGATCAGGTCTGGCATTTCAAAAAGATTGTTAGGAGAGAGAGATTCCCCAGTCACCACCTTCTGCTGTCTCGGCCAGTTTAGATGAACTCTCTTGTCAAGGATTTGCAATTCAATTAACAGATATGACAGGGCACTCATCCATAATTATTTTTGGTATGTTGGCAGTGTGTTTTTCAAGCAGAATACTGGTAAATATAGAGCTTTCAGGATAAGTGAGATGATAATCACTTACCCAACAAAAAGGCACTTCAGTGTCACACACGTGTCTGTGTTAGAAAACCAGCAAAGACAGAAACGGGGTACAGAAATAAGTACAACTGGTGAAAACAGTAAAAATTTCAAATCAAGGCTACCTTTACTTAAGTGTTCAGGATCTGGTAGAAGTTTCCAGAAAATAAAATAAAATAAAATTGAAATTAAATTAAAACTAAAATTAAGGTTGAAATGAAATGAAATAAAATAAAATAGGAGGGGGAAAGGTCCTTAGAGGCCATCTATTGCTTAAACTGCATGTTGAAACTAGTGCAAGAACATGAGTCAAGAAGGGATCTGCTTCAGCTTAACAGAAAAGCAGAGTAAAAGCAGATTCCACAAGTGCAAAGAATCACACAGTAAGGGAGTGAAGCTTTAAATTGAAAAACCAGATGATGTAATGGACAGCTTATATAAAATGGCCTCACAGCTATCACCAGAAAGGGTAATGAATCCTCTTGTGTCTCTCTTCTGAACAGAAGCATTTCCAAAAGCTGGTCAACCTAGAACACTGCTGAAGAAGAAAGCTGCAGGCAATTGATGGGTGATAGGGCAGACAGGGAACATGTCTAATGCTTTTATTCCCCTGCTGAGTTTGCTCTAGTAGCAGTGAAGCATCACAGAGTGCTCCAGATCCCACCAGCCATTACAGTTAAAAAGCTGAAACTCTATCCTATTTGAAAAAGAGCACACAAAGGAATGGATCCCTTAGAAGATCAGAGCAGTTTGTCTGGCTTTGAGCTCAGCAGGAGACCCAGTCTGTGTATTTTAATCTGAAAATTTCTGCTTTGTAAACAACATAACATTCTGCAGAAAACATCCACTTTTAC